TCCTGACCATTATGTTATTACCTCCACTCCACATTCTATCACACTGCTGGTTTGTTTTTATAACATTACCAGTATTTGTGTTAATCTTGCTGATTTGTCTTATCCACAAGAATAGTCTCCATGAGAACAGCGGCCTTATCTGTCTTTTTCACTGCTGCATTCCTCATTTGTCCAGATGGATCCTTGGCATACAATTGTTGCTAAGTGCAGTCCAAATGATTCTGATTCATAATGACCCTGCATAGGGTTTTCAGGAGTCCTGGTGTGGCACTATAGGATAAGCATTGAACCACAAGGTCGGTTTGAACTGCAAGGTTGGTGGTTCAAACTCACCAGCCACTCCTTGGAAATCCTATACAGGGTCACTATGAGTCAGAACTGACTCGTTGGCACTTAACAGCAACAATATAGGGTTCCGAGGCTGAAAATTTTTGAGGGAGCAGAAAACCTCATCTTTAGTGAAGCTGCTGGTGGTTAGCAGTCCAAAGCTTATCCTACAGAGCCAGAGCCATCTCATGGCATATAATTGTTGTTGTTGTTGTTAGGTGCCATCAAGTTGGTACCAACCCACAGTGACCCTATGCACAGCAGAACGAAACACTGCCCGATCCTGGGCCAGCGTCACCACTGTTGCCACGCTTGAGTCCATCGACGCTGCCACTTGGCCAATCCATCTCATTGGGGGTCTTCCTCTTTTTCTCTGACCCTCCACCTTACCAAACATCATATTCTTCTCCAGTGACTGGTCCCTTCTGACAATATGTCTGAATTATAAGAAATGAAGTTTGGCCATCTTGATCTCCAAGGAGCACTCTGGCTGCACTTCTTCCATAACGGATCTATTGGTTCTTTTGGCAGCCTGTGGCACTTTCAATAGTCTCTTCCAACACCACAACTCAAAAGCATCAATTCTTCTACGGTCTTCCTTATTTATTGTCCAGCTTTCACATGCATATGAGGTTACTGAAATACTATGGCTTGGGTCAGGCATACCTTAGTCCTCAAGCTGACATCTTTGCTCTTCAACACTTTAAAAAGGTCTTGTGCAACAGATTTGC